GGTCAAATATGACCAATCTGTCATATTTGTCAACTAAATCAGATGATCGCCGCAGTTACAGATCACGGCTTCAATACACAAAAAAAAAAACCTCAAACTGCGCGCGCTGCTGCTTAAAAATAACAAAATCGCCATATTAGTTTGTGTATCGCCAATTATATAATTTTTTTTATCATAACATGAAAAATGATATACCGTATTTTACCAAAAATAAGCATACCTTTTTTTACTATAGAGGTGCTTATTTTCGGGTATTTCACATGAAATGATTTATATAAAGCTGTGCCAAATCTTATCTGATGATCATCATATCATCTCAGTTAATGATACACGAAACCCGTTTTAAACCTGTTAAAAAAATGCTACAAAAATATAAGAGAGTTGTTAGAAAGGTTAGATGAACTTCATATTCTATTGAGAAGAAAAGGGAAGTTGTTAATTATACAGAACAATATGACAGACGTGTAGCAGCAAACCACTTTAATCTTGATATTAGTATGGTTGGTCATTAGGTTAGAGCAAGCAAGACCTGGATAACCAAGACAAGTAGCAAAAAAAAGAAAATTGGTTTTGGTCAAAAGGCTTTATATCCTGAAGCTGAAAAAGTTTTATATGATTGGATTATTGAGCAATAGAAGTAAGTATTGGCTGTAAATTACTTGATGATAAGAATAAAATGAAGGAAATTTTTAGTGAATCAAGTATAACAACCATTTATAACTCAATAAATAATTTTAAGGCATCACTTATCTGGTTACGAAAATTTTTGAAAAGGTATAAACTAGTATTGCACTGAAGCATGAAAATATCTCAGAAACTCCCAAAATATACTAAAGAATTGCTAGAGAATTTTAATAGATTTTTCATCTAACTTAGGATAGAAAAGTCTTTTGAAATACGTGATATTTATAACATGAATAAAACACCTGTTTGGTTTGATATAGCAGGTAATTTTACATTAATCAAAAAGGTGAAAAAATTGTACATGTTCATAAGATTGGAAATGAAAAAAATCGATTTACAATTGTTCTTACATGGATTACTGATAAGTTTTTGAATCTTGTCTTTATCTGCATATTTTAGTAGATTCTGCAAAATTTTGTAAGTTTTTAATCTTACTAAATTTGAATTTACTTAATAAGATGAGACTAACTTACCTCCTATTTGCATATTTAAAGGAAAAAGATTAACATGCAATGAAAAAGAAAAAATTCCTTCTGGTGTGATAGTTTGGTTTCAGAAAAATGGATGAATGAATGTTAACTTGATAAATGATTATATTGATTATTTTAATGATAATAGATTTGGGACCTAATAATGCTAGTAATTGACTCATTCAAAGGCTACCTAGAAGAATCAGTCAAAAATAAGTTTTGCAAAGTAATATTTATTTAGTAGTGATTTCTAGTAGATTAACAAGTATCTGCTAGCCTTTTAATATTGCAATTAACAAACCATGAAAGAATAACTTTCGAAAAGAGTGATATCTGTGAATAGCAAGTAGTGATGCTAGAAATACTGCTAATAGAAATCTTTAGCACGCTAAAATAAGCGATCTATGTGGTTGAGTTAAGCGAACATAAAAGAAAATTTTAATGAAATCATTATTGAACCTTTTAAGAAATGACCTATAACAGATTCACTAGTAAATTCTGATATAAATAGAAAGGAATCAGAAATCAAAACTGATAAATCAGAAGTTGATGAAGAATCAGAATTGGAAATTAATATAGTAGAATCAAAAATTGAGGAATTAGTAACAAGTAAAACTGATGACGAAAGTAATTAGCGATAATATTTTTAACAAGATACAATAGCTTATTTCTTTTTTTGTAAATATTACTTCACATTTATAATATATTTAGTTAGATTTTTACAATAAATTTTACAAATATGCTTATATTCGTTATATTCGGGTCCTATATAAATATGTTTGTACTTATTTTTAGAATATGCTTATTTTTGATAAAATACAGTATATATATAGAAAACATTAATTATGTAAATTAATCGTACAATATGATACGATTACTCAATTTCTTAAAATATATGATCTTGCTATATAGTTCTATTATATTTCGTAAGTGCTTACCAATTTAATGCATTTTTTCATATGACCAAGAAAAATTTGACAAATTGAACCAATAAAAAAAATCACTATTTAATATACTGTATAATATATAAATAAATTTACTTGTTGAAATTTTAAAGTAATTTCATGACAAAGCTCATTAAAAAATTTACTATAATAGAGACTTGTTTTTGTTTTGAATTTCCGATAGGATAGAATTAGAAACTTTTTCTTCTCTTAAGGGATATTATAAAAAGCTAATAAGGTAATATTAGTTTAATCCTTTGTATTTTATTAATAAAGAATTTAGAAAAGGGATATGTTTGGAAACATATTATTAAATATAAACCACATAAGTTACTAATAAAATTGCTAATGATAATGAAAAACACGAAATAAATAAATTTTCCTTAATTAATAATACAAAATGGAAGGCTTTCTAGGAAAATAGGGTTCTAAGAAACTTTTGACTAAAATATCATTTGAATTGCATTTTAATCTAATCTAATATCATCAAAATTTAAAATGCAATAAAAATCAAAATTTTAATAAAAATTTTTCAGAAGCCCATTTTTATAACAAACATTTAAATAATAAATTTAAATTCAGAAATTTTTTATATATTCAAATCTTCTTTATTCTGAAATGTTTTGATTTCATATTTCAAATTTTAATTTTAGAATGAGAGTTCTCATTATTTTTAAAGACAGTAAATGATTTTTTATAATTGATATAGTATTTTTACATATTTATGTTTAATATATGCTCTTACCATTAATTATGAACAAAATTTAATTATTTAAATCACTTAAGTTTTAAAATTTTTTGTCATAATACATTCATAACAAAATGTCATTCATCATGAAATAATAATGTGTTATGCTTATAAATTGTAATCTGATTCTATTAGAATCGAAAATCAAAAATAAAAATTTTGTATCTGTTTTTTAATGATATAGTAAAATCTGCTATAAATACAGAATTTCATAAAAAACCATACATATAAAAGTTAATTAAGTATGGTTAAATTTTATCTAAAAAAAAATTAATGTAGATATTTTAAAAAAGTATTATTAAGTAAGGTTGCATTTTAAATTAATTAGCGACTTTCGTCAAAAATAAATCAATGAATTAAAAAAAAAACTTATTTTAAAATAAATTTTATTTCATGAAATACAAAATTATATAAAATTAGACAATTTTTTTTTGATTTTTGTGAAATAAATTAATTGTAATAAAAGAACGTATTATTACTTACTTTATAACAAATAATGCATAGTAAGTTAAAATTAACAACACAGAATATATTATAAATGGTTTAAACTTCTATATTTTGGTTTTTCATATATATAGGTAGTATACTATTAAAATTGAGATATGAAATATAGTAAATCATATGATAGCACACTACCTATATGTTTGCTTCAGATGTCAATTTAATAACTAAATACCTCAAATATCAATCATCCTGTGATGTATCTCAGGTGATGATTGACTTCTGAGATGTATCGGTTGTTTTAACTGATGCATCTCTATTATTAACTGAGACAAATTTATTTTATATAAAAAATAAATTTCTTCAGATATCAATTAAATTATATCAGCAATAAAAAATTTAAATTATTTATTTAATAAAATGCAATTATATTATATTATTATATTATTTATTTAAGACAATTAAAACTAGTACTATTTATAAAAATAATTCAGTAAATTACCATTTTTGTTATAATATTGATGATTACCATGATATTGACTTCTACAATTATTTCCATATTTTTTACAATTGTATTTCTTATTATTTCAAGTTTCCTTGCAATTACAAATTATACCTATAGTTGCCTATGTTTTATAAACGAGTTGCTTTCTTGTAGTAATTTTATTTGTAAAAATTATTTCAAGATCTGAAAATTGTTCAATATCAAGGGGTTCTAGTTTTCCAAATGAATAAAAACTATCAATTACTCTAAATCTAATTCCTAATTTATATTGATTATTATTTTTCTAAGTGTTTAGTCGATCAATACCAAAATGTTAATTTTTAGTACAATAATCTTAATAAAATCTCCAATTTCATGATTTTATGATTTTTTTCTTTTACTTTTTTTATTGGCTATTCTTTTTATATAATTTTTAAGATTTCATCTAGAAGTGATCCTCAAATTTTATATCTTATAATTGTAATATTATATTGTAATAGTATAGATAAAACCTTATTTAAAATGTCAGCAAAAATTGTTTGATCATTTTCATATTCATTAATCATTATTTCCTAGAATATTATTTAAATTTTAATTAAAATTATTGAATATTATTATATTTAAAGAAATTACTCTTTACTTCTTTTGAATTATTAACTGAATCAACTTAAATATCATTTTCTATAATATTAGTTTTTTAAAATTAATAATTTTAATTTTAAAATTAGTATATAAAGATTATAATTAATAAATTCATTAAAAATTACTTTAAAATTATTATCAGAATAATTGTTTTTCTATTGATTTATTGAATAGAAACATTTTTTAAAATTAAAAAAATTAAAAATTAAATTATAAAAATTAGAATTGAATGATATTTAATATGAATTTACGAATTAAATTTAAAGTTCAATTTTGACTATTATCATTAATTTTGATTTGAGTTTTGATACTTGAACTGAATTTAAAGTTCAATATTAGGATTCATTATTGACTTCAATTCTCAAATCAAATTTAAAGTTCAATATTAAGTTTTATCATTGATTTTCATTCTTGAATCGAATTAAATTTTAATTTTATATTTATCATTAACTTTGATTCTTAAATTAAATTTAATATTTGATATCAATTTTGAATTGAATTTAAATTCTAATTTAATTATTATTATTATTTTCAATTCTCAAATCAAATTTGAAGTTCATTATAAAGTATTGTCTCTAATACTGACTATTACTTTAACTTTGCTTACTTTAAAAATATATATAAGTGAATTTTAATTAGTTCAAAAAAGTATATTTATTTTAATTAATTTACAAAAAATTCTTACTAAACCAATTCTCTTCAATAATATCATCATCAAAGTATTGAATTTGATCATCAAAATCGACTATTTGGATTATTGTAGGGATATTTTTTTATCGTAAATACTTCTGATAATAAACAAGTTTATATAGCATTTTTTTTATGTGATTTACAAATGGAATTATTCATAGACAAAACTACCAAATGGAGTCTATATGACTAATCATTTATTTAGTATATTCTTTTCACGTTTCTAATCTTTGTTATAAAATACCATTTGCTTATTTTACTAAACCTTGGGATTGAGAATGACAAGGTCCTCTATTAATAATTTTAACAGAAAAGCAAATATTAGCCAGTTCTTTAATTACCTCAACATAAAATTCTTTTCTATTATTAGTCTTTAAAATAGATGGAGATAATCCAATATTTAAAATAAATCAATCAAGTAAGCTAGCTGCTACTTCAATGGCTTTTTTTTTTTGATGTAAGGGGTTTAACTCATAAATATCTTATAAATAATCTTGAATATGACAAATATAATTACAAAAATTGGATTATATGCCAAAAGATGACAATAAGGTTTTTTAGTTACACATTTAGTGTAATAATTAACAAATTTTTAATAATGGTTTGTTTTAAAAAGCCTAATGTTAATTAAATGATTACTATAATTATTCTAAACCTGCATAATTATACATCATTTTTCTATCTTTAAAGAAATTTATATTTAACATTAAATAATATAGTTAATTATTCAAGGATACCATACCATTTGTAATCAGATTCATTAAAGTGCCATGAAACTGTTTAGAAAACATGCATTAATATATCTCTTAAGGTTTTGGGATCTATAATCAATAAAAAAGACATTTTTCATGCATCATTTGGTTGCGAGCAAGTCATCGTTTAAAATAAAGTAGTATTTGGAGAAGCAATTGCTATATGCTTTAGTTATTGAATTGATTAAAATGCTGTCGATTAATGAATTATATACTATATAATTCAACAGTTTACGATTCTATTTTAAAGTTAATTTCATAAAATTCTTATTTTGCAATGAATTTTGTTGATTGCGCCTTAAAATATTGTTATGATTTAAAAAATATTACACCATTTTCGAGGATAATGTTAGAATATGGAAGAGAGGCATTTGGTTAGCTTAATACGATGAATGTAGATACCAATATATATGAATTAAAATTTTTTATGAAGTATAAATAATAAACTTCACTAAAAATTAATATCGTTTTGATTCATTCAAATGGAGTACTTTCAAAATACTATGCCAAATTATTAGAACACTTTATCATATTAAGCAATGACTACGCTACATTATAATCTTGTAAAATTTGAATTTGGTGAATCATTTAAATTATAATGAATATCGATACTTTTAGATCTGACTTTGAAATAGCTCATAATAAACAAGGTAATAAAATAATCGGGAATCTTCAATGTTTTTAATAAAATGTCTTTAATATTCTATTCATTTAACGATAATAGTTTTTCTCATGTTCACGGATTTCATAGGAATTAAAGTATTTGAAGTATTTGAAGTTTTGTCGAATAATGTAATCATAGAAAAAAGGTAATATTTTTAGAAAGCGAATTCAATTGGATCTTTAGCAAAATCCTTTTTAAAGAATAACGATCTGAATCGATTTACCGCGAAGGTCATCATTAATTCAATGAACTATTTATTTTTAACAAAAT